TTTAAGGTTTGGTCTCTTCTTCCGGGATTTTGCACACGACCCACTGATATTTGCCAGGTAATAAATCTTGTGATCTTGTCATCATTCAAARCCTACAGTCTAAATTGCTCATCACATTTTCAATGTTTTTCTAGTCATTCAAGAGTGTGGCAAGGATTCTTGGTACAGCTCTTACAGARAGACCTGATCTTTGCCTTCTTGTTTGCCAAGGACTTAGACTATTGGTGTCCAAAACAACCCAAGGTAAGTTGATACTATGGATRACTTGTACATGTGCCTGCATGGACATGAAAGTGTTTCATAGCATTGTATTTTGTATTAAAGATGAAGATAAAACAGAACTTGCTAAGTATGCCAAGAACTACCTGCCTATATTATTCAACTTGTATTCTGGAGAAGAGAGTGAGAAAGAACTAGACAAGCTACCAATATTAGAAACCATTAGAACGTACCTGACCATCACAGACTCGCAGGTTAGAAACAACAGGCACAATTTGTCCTGGCCGGTATCAATGAAAATCTTGTGTTTTGATTTATAGTAAATCTAACTATTATTCCTTTATTTATTGTTATTTGACATTTCTTCCCAGCTTGCTTCAAAGTTCCTCACGAAAGCAATTGAAAAAATAACAAACCAAGAAACAGCAGTCTATACAAGGTATGTCTCAACATTTTCAGCTAGAGGAAACCTATGGAGCTAGCAATTGTATTTGATTACCATAAATATATAATGTTTTGCTCATTATATTAGAAATAACTGCTTAAAAATATACTTTTTGTTGTCAAGTTTTGTTCAGAAATTTACCTGGCACACTTCTGTTGAAGCGGTTTTGCTAATAGAGTAAAACATTGACAATCTAATATTATTTTACTTGTTTTTCAATTCGTAGAAACCAAATGATGGATTTGATCATCGCTATGATTCCTTATGTGGAAGAGTCCAATGTCAACAAATTGTATAGCATTGTGGTACCTTATTTACAGGTACAGTACTTTGCAAGTAATTGTCTCCTTTACGGTTCCCTGCTCCATCTTGAAAGGTAGCCATGTCTTTACATCGAAGCGAGACGGCCGTTGAGCGTGCAATGATAGAAACCTGTGAATAATTGTCTGTAGGTGTGAAAGAAGGTTTCTATCGTTACACGCTCAATGGTGGTCTTGTTTCAGTGCAAAGGCATGACTACCTTCTCAAGATGGCGCAGCGAACCATGAAGAAGACTATAATTGTATTTTCTAATGTTTGTCTTTTCACCAAATAACTACACCTGTAGTTTAGCAACTTATAGCATGTTTGTGTTTAATAAGGTACAAGATATCACCCAACAAAAGAAAGCCTATCGTGTTCTGGAACAAATCTGTAGTTCTGATTCTAAAGCGTGTGTCAGTTTTGTGTCAAGACACTTAGAAGAACTGAAAGAAATATTGCTGAAAACTCTTGCATCTTCAAGCTCATCTTCTAAAGCTGTGAGTAAAAGACATAAGTGTAGACCAGAGTGTGAATTACCAACTAAACAACCAAGTTACGTGTACCAGTCACAAATCATTGAACTATTGAACCTGTAAACTGAAAATCCAACCCCTCAGTGAACTTGCTGTGCTAAATAATAATCATACASTTCTGAACCAAACATCCAGACAGATGACTTGCCAACTCAGTGTCCAGCCAACCAGCTGAAACAGTACCAGCCAACCAACCCCACCAACTGATCCAACTCAACCAATTATACTCACTCAATACCACATAACCATCCTAACAACCCCAATTAACCCAAACTCACTTATTCAATCTAACTAATACCACATAACCAAATTAACAACCCCAACCTACCCCACCCACTGATCCAACCCAATCAATTACACTCACTCAAAAACACACAACCACCCTAACAACCCTCACCACCCATACAACCTAATCAACAACCTATTTTCAGTTAACAAAATAAATTATGATCATAATGATAATAATGTTGGTCAAATTATATTCCAGCCAAGGTTAAGATGTTTAACTCAAATTGTAAGAAAGCTTGATGAAAACCAACAAGACTTCATCAAAGCCATTATACCAGAGGTAATTACATGGTATATGTWAAGTAAAATAGTGAGAGAGGCTCAAATGAATGGATGGAAAAATGAATGAATGACATGTATTTCTTTTTGATCATTCTGACAGCAAAGAATCACACCAACATTAACTGAAGTGTACTACTTTGTTTAAACTTCTTCCCAGGTGATTCTTTGTACAAAAGAAGTTGCTGTCAAAGCCAGAAATGCTGCTTTGTCATTGCTTGTCACAACTTGTCATGCTTTATGTAGATGTAAAGGCATGACCAAAAAAGGTAATCAACAGAAATTTGATGTMAGAGAGCAATAATCAAAACAACTGTTATTTTTGATTGTTTAAAGTTCATATTTGTGTTTAGATGGAATTATTTTATACCTTCAACTTGTGATGGCTGGCCTTGCTGGCTCAACCCACATGGTTAGTGCTACGATTATTTGTATTTCAAGGATCGTTTATGAATTCAGAGGTAAGTATTTGAATTTTTTACTTGATCAACATTGAAGGTGGTGAGGCTATAATTGAGATGGCTATAATTTAGATGATGACGATGAAGATGAATCATGATGGTGATTATCATTGGAATGACAGGACCCTATCACTCAGACCATACATGTCATCTTTTTTTAAGATCTTTTTACTCAGGCTGACATAACTATGCAAAACACTGAGTGCAAAGAATACATAAACRATAGCTTTTATTAAGATTATTGAACTGGCGTATTGGAAGTGATTTCTAATTCCATTATTTTGGATTTTTTTAGGTGATGTACCAAGTGATGTCGTGGAACAGCTTATTAAGGGTGTGCTTGTATGTCTTGCATCAAAAAGCAAAGAAGTTGTGAAATCTACTCTTGGTTTCTTCAAGGTGAGACATCAGTTGCATACATTCATCATATTCATTTATTYATCCTTCCATTTATCTTCCATTCATTTGTTCGTTTTGCATGTTCATTTAGTTTGTGGATATGTAAGTCAGMTGCCATCAAAATATTGATGTTCCCTCTCAACTACATTGTACTGCCTTGCATTTTGCCTCCTATCCATTCCTCCCTCTCTCCATTCATCTCCACCCATCTCCACTCCCTTCATCTGTTYATGCCTCCATCCACTATTTATTGATTCATTCAGACAACCATTTTTTCATTTATTCACACATCCCTATTATTTAGTCATCCATTTGTTCTTTTGACTGYTCATTTATTCAGTTGAAAAGTTAATAGATCAGACTACAGTAGCCTAGTGCTAGCCATATATTTATATCCTATATGTAATGCTTTTATCTACCTGTGTACTGTATATACAGTGTGTCTATCATTCTATTTTTTGAGTTAAATTAATCTATTATCACAGGTTGTTATCTCTGTCATGAGCCGTGATGACTTAGCACCTTATGCTGAAGACTTAGTAAGGAATAAAGTTTGTGTTACTATATACTCTCACTCCAGTTCCTATCCTTGTACAAATGTACCTTTTTAGTTATTTTCACTTCTATTGTATCATAAATTATCCTATCCAAGCATTTGATATTTTATGACATGATCTCATATTAAAGTAAAATGCAGTCATTTTTGTTACAGGTATTATAATAATATGTATAGTAACTTGCTGTTAATAACTTTAACAATTTGGTGGTGATTAAACCATTGTTTTCAAACACAGGCTAGTGGTATTGTGAACTGGAATGACGACAACAGAAGACGTTTCCGATACAATGTTAAAGTTTTGTTTGAGAGACTAATTAGAAAATTTGGGTAAGTTTCAATATAAAAATGAAYGTGCCTAGACACGTTATAAAAATGAACACTTTTAATTCATCAGCTATGCAACAACACTGAAATGCGTTCCTGAGAAACATCGCAAGCTTGTGCAAAACATCCACAAGACAACACAGAGGTTAAAGAGACAAAAGATGGCACTGAGAGCAAAGAATATGGTAATTCACAATCCTAATGTCAAATGGATGTATTAACAGAATAATTACCAATGATTTTATTGTATGTTTAGGAAGGTAAAGCTCATGAAAAAATTGACTCAATTCAGCAAGATGAAAGGTAAGTTCTTTCTTCTGAAACCAAATTGAAACTCATTTTGTTTGTAATCTTTTAATGGTATCCAGAATTATCTCCATGTAGAGAGTAGTGGAAGCAATATTTACTTTAAATGTAATATGTATATATAATATTATGCTCTCYTTTCTGTTTCAGCTATGAAGACTTGATGTTTGGCTCTGAAACTGAAGAGGATGATTCAAAATCAAAAACAAAGGGAAGAGATAACAAGGTAGAAAGTGAAGGAAGTTGTTTAATCAAATGCTTCTTCAGCTCCTGGAAACCAGGAAAAAAAATCAAATTTGCTGATAGGACCTTCAAGATACTGTACATTAATATATAGACTGATTTACAATGTCAATTTAAAAGTTTTTAACCTTTGAAATTATTGTTTTTAAGGCTAAGAAAGTGAATAAACCAAATCCTAAAACATGGATCCGTGAGGGAGCAGATGAAGAACCAGTTGATTTCATGGACTCTAAGGTGGTTCAAAGAGTTGTAGGTGAGTGTGAAGAATTAATGAATACTGTGTGGGTAAAATTGTGGATAATTTTCCCCAATGGAAGGAGAGGTTGGGTGCACGGTCAAGATATAACTGTCATATCTTGGAAGTTTAAGGAACAACAGACTAATACCTGCAAAGTTAATCTTCCAAGTGATGCTCATTTAATGTGGTTTGATAAGGCACATTAAGAAGAAGATGGAATTTAGATAAAATKCACATTGAGATCAGATATTAAGGTCTTATACATGTAATGAAGATACATAAACATTTATATGAAGTAGCAAGAACAGAGAGAAAACAAGATCTGCAATGACAGGTTTAAATCATATTTATTATAATTATATTCAACAGCAACTGACCCARAAGCAGGCAGAAAGCGAAAACTTGAAAATGATTTTGAATTATCAAAAGATGGCAAACTTATCATCCCAGATGATGACGATGAAGAGGAGGAAGAAGAGACGTCAAGAAAACACAATAAGAAGCATGGTGAGGATATAAACACTGTATATTGTTATTACTAGGAGTATATTCTTGCTTATGACATTGCATGCCTACTAATATCACCCATATATAGAAATGGTCATGATACTCTGAAGAGATAAATCATATGTCAGTTTAACAAGGTGTTACAATGATCAGCTTGCAATGATAGATACCTCTGAAGATTGTCTATCTCCAGGGATAATGGTACTTGTATGGGAGAAGGAGGTTCTTATCATTGCTTTCTTGCCAGTTGTTTTGCTTCAATAAGTATGGATACCTTTCATGATGGTACAAGGAAAAAAATGTAAAATGTACCATTGAGTTCTAATATTTTAATGCCTTCCACTGATGATGATTGTGCTTTTCCATAGCTTTTGGAAACATTCCCATGGAAGAAGATCTCATGGATGATGATCTGGTTGGTATAAAATAATATAGTTATTATCAGGGCTCGAAATAATGGCTGGTCAAAGGACAATGTCCTTTCTAATTCACTAGATGACCGGCCAAATCRGGCTTTGAAAGGACAAATTGACCTGCCACATTTTTAGACAAAGAAAAACAATCAATTCCCAATTTGCCTGAATAAATCTTTTACAATCCATTACAATGCTTGTCGATCTTTCTGAATACAAAAACCTATAAATTAAAAGAAAATTATAGTATAATAAAGTTTTGTCCTTTCAAAACTTGACATGACCTTCCAAAAATGAATTTGGAAGGACATCTTGTCCTGCATATGTCTGGCCATTATTTTGAGCCCTGATCATATATACCAACATCACTGATATCATTATTGTTATCGCCTTCATATTTGTGGCCCTTTTAACCCTTGCAATGCTTTGAAAGGCATTTAAAGCAAAACGCTCCAGACCCAGTAAAGATGATGATGATGATGACGATGAAGTGGATGTGAAAGAGTCCAAGAGAGATAACAAATTTGGAAATGAATACAAAGCCAAGGTACATGTTACTAGATGAATTTGAATCTGTTGCTCTACGTTGGTATTGTTGCTAGCTGTTATTGATATAGTTATTCCTGCTGTTGGTGATGTACTGGTTAATGTTATTATGAGTTCATTTCATGTTGTTGTTGATGTTATTGTTGACAAATTTACTTGTTTATGTTGGCGATGATGACATTATTGATGTTGTAGCTATCATTTGATGTAGTTATTGTTCATATTGCTTTGACCTTGATGTTGATAATCATACTGATAATGTTTTGTATATAATTTATATTGTAGCGAGCTGGRGGTGACGTCAAAAGAAAAGGACAACCAGACCCATATGCATACTTRCCACTAAATCGCAGTACTCTCAATAAAAGGTAAAAATACTGAAACTKATGATAMATCTGATTACATAGGYCTATTATACAARTAAYTTGGCTAATGGTCKTGAAAAAAAGAATRTTTTTGCAAACTTTTTAATTTTAATTGTRCAGAAAACAGCGTAAGGCAGCCGGGCAGTTCCATAGTCTTGTGCGAGCCACCAAGAAAGGATCATCAAGAGTAAAATCACAGAAAGGAAGACATAAATAATCTTATGTGAACTCTGTTACTTTAAAACCTGCTCTCAAACAGCACTGAATTTGTACTTTTAACATGAGACACTTCATTAAGATGATGGAGTTTCTGAAGCATCATATTTTATGTACCARTCCTCAATGAATAGACATTGACTTTGTCGGGGTAACTGACTGAATCCATCAAGCCTGGGCAAAAGGTAATAATAAAGCTATTTCAAACAGGCTTTCTACTGTGCTCTCATCATTGCTGCGCAGAAAATWATTGATTTTTAGTAATTGATTCTTAGTAGAGTGATCACACTTAATCCGTSCAACTGCACAAACTAAATAGTGCTATTTAGTTTTTAAATTGTGTATGCGGTACRCAAGTTAAATCAAATTGATACAAATGAAGCTTTCAATACCATCTTCAGGTCCACTTTTAGTACAAATGAATRCTACTTAGATTTTGTACAGTTGCACGCTTCAAGTGCAATCACTCTAATTTACAAGTAGTAAATTAAGTAAGTTAATTTGGATGTCGGCAAGACGACGGAGTTTAGTCTATATTTAGTGGATATTTGTCTTCACTTTGAGTTTTTGTATATCTAACTCGAGCTTTAGGTCTTATCTTGTGCAACGTTACTGTAGTAGCAATTTTATTTGAAAATAACAATGAAGAAGGACTAAAGCTGCAAACCAAGCTCAGAAAACAGTTTGTCTTAAAAAAATTGTGCAAAGGTTAAGTTTAGTTAAATTTACAAACTGTCTTATTAATTTTGCTTATGTTTTTAAGATGTTTTGAGACTTAACTTAGAAAATTTCTTAAAGAGTTAATATCTTTGCTTTCAGGTTTAAAGTTTTTTCAAGAGTTTTTTTTAAATTGTCATGGTAATTATTTACATTTATTTTATTTTCGTTTATTTGTTTATGGTTGTTTACGTTTTAAGGTTTATATTGTGCGCGCTTTTTAGAAACCTGTGTAAAGGAAGTTTAGTGTTTATCCTGCGAAAGGAAAGAAACATCAGTTAGAATGTGATTTGAACCCTTACCTGCAAGCTTGCCTTCTGTCCAGTAGTCTGCTGTCTTGATCACCAAGCCATCTAGTGAATTGCTGGTTCAAACCACTCAACATCAAAAGTCATTGTTTGAATTTGCATGAATTGTGACCTGCTATAAACTTAAGTTTCGAAGCCTGACCAGCAACTTCGACTAGATGGTTTAGTGGGTTAGTGGTTGGGCTATGAATCAGACGGTTAGGAGTTCAAATCTCGGYTATAGATTTCTTTCTTTCGGGAAAATAAATTTCAAAAATTATAGTTTTATTTATTTCTGGACTCATGTTAATGCAATAGTAAACAAGTAGTAAACAAGGGTGCGGTGGTCGCAGTAGGTAGGGGTGGGGTGGTCGAGCAGTAGGCAGGGGTGGGGTGGTCAAGCAATAAGCCGGGGAGGGGTGGTCAAGCAACCAGCAGGGGTGGGGTGGTGCAAGTGCAGCGCCACCCCTCCCCTGAACGAATGGGATCCCAAGGGGCAGCAGTGGCCCCGTGGGACCTCGGCGGATGAGGGGGGAGATAGGGGAGGGGGGACTATAGGGGGGAGAGGACAGAGGGGGGTGGGCTGTCTAAAATAACCCAGTAGGTAGTATGCTGGGTACCTAGTAGATACCTATATAGATACCTAATAAATAGTATGTAGAATAATATTTTACATAAGACAGCAAATATTATGACACTCAGACGTAATCCTCCATAGTATTTTATTTTGCCATATTTTAATTCCCAAGGGAATAAGTGTTTAAGTCTAATTCAGTGATACTATTGAAATTACCAGAATGCATTGCACATGTAATCAATAAATGATAGCATTCTGGTAATCCCATCAAATCTAAATATCAAGACTTACTCCTTGTTACATTTCCCAAATGAATACTAGAAGTCAACGATGCATTGAAAGATTGCTCAATTCAATAGTCGACTTAAGAATTTTGCATCAGTTTTCACACTCAAAGGAATCAAGACATGAAAAGACAATAGTGATTGAGCTTTATGCAYGGCGCCTCGTCTTGATTCCTTTGTCTGAGAACTGATGCGAAATTTRCAAGTCAACCATTAATTAGAATAATTATTTATGCTTAGCACAGTAAGTTCATGTTACTTTCATTTGGGAACTGTAACAAGCAGAATTGGACAACTGGAGTCATTACACTTCCCCTGTGAAATGTTCTAGACTCTTRCTAGTAATAGTATTTCTATTTCAACCAGTGTGTTGCTCTCTAAATGACAGGTTATGTGTAACCACTCCAGTTCTGTCCAACCTTGTGCATTTTATTTTTTGTTAAGTAGTAGAGTGCACGACTGAATTCCGTGAAGTGAAAAAATAATCGATTATTACACAACACTAAATGCAAAACTATTACCAAAGAAAATAASTTTGCCAACCAAGAAAAGCCTGAATGAATTCTTATCTTAAAGTAGTATTAATTTTTTTTTCACGGAATGTGWGGCATGCACTCTACCTGATAAAAGAAAACTTCCAAACTCAGAGAGCAAGGAATGTAACTCTGGTATAGAAACCAGAAGTGGAACAGTSCAAACTCCTTATGAAATGTTACCTTGACGAAATACAAGAATTTGTATATGTTCAAATGAGACTAATCTCATTGTTGAGTTCTGTTTGGGAGTTTGGACTATTCTACATACTACGGGACGTGCTTTTCAATACTCAGAACTGAGCGAAAGTCTATAAGAAGTTCAAAATGTCTTTTGTCAAGAGGCAGTGTTTTCTGCTAGACTGGGGATAAAAATCTGCTGACTAAAAACTGCGTATAAAACAGCCATATAACAAAAGGTGATAGCCAAAGAGCACTTAAGTATGTGAACTGAAAAGACAAAATACTGGTCAGTCAGTTTTGACTAATGAAAAATCCCCTAAGACTAGGTGTCTCAGTACTCGGAATCAACAACACTGACAACAGAAAGGAGAGTTTCCTCTGCTGAGGGGAGATTGATTAGAAAACAGTTACCAAGGAAACAGGCATCAGGACCAATGTGTCCTGGCAAYGAAGAGAAGGGAAGGGATGCTTATTTTTATTGGTTTGAAAATCAAGTCGTGATTGCTGATTGCTAGAGTAGCAACAATGAGCCTTGTCCACTGTATCCAAGTACACATGCAGGCTTGAAAGGATCCTGTGAAAGACACCAAAATACTGTTGATTTAAAGTGTGGTTTTAGACACTTGGGTACAAGGGATTAGTTTATGCTTCAAAAGAGAATCCTATTTTTTGTCAAATAATAAAACAATGAATAAATTAGCCAATTATTTTGATCTGTAAAAGTTTGCCTGCCATATCTTATAGAGGCATGGTCAACCTGTATCCAAAACAATGTTTTTAAATTATTTGTAATATATAAGTGACTGTTTAATTTCTATTTATGCTCTAAGAGTGATCTTACTGTCATATAGTAAAATGGTGGGAACTAGCGGTAAACTAGTGTGAGCTGCGTCGGTGTTTCTAAAGAAACAGTTGTGTAAAGAAGATAAGTTTAACACCGTAAAAAAGTATGGGAAATAACTTACTAACATCCGAAACGTCAGTAAGTTATTTCCCATACTTTTTTTACGGTGTTAAACTTATCTTCTTTACACAACTGTTACTGTCATATACATTACTAATCGACTAGTCAAGACAAAATTATTTGCATAAAATTGTATAGCAATAGACTGTCATCAATCAAAGTTTTCAAACAAATAACTGTAAAATGGATTGCACATGGACATTCTAAGTCATTTTTCCATACAAGCAAAAAAGAACCTAAAACATGAATGCATTGAACGCTAGTCCACCATGAATATTTAAAATCTTCAACTCTAGTTATATTTTAGAAGTCTCCAATGGTTTGAATTAGCTTTAGACTTGAACAAATTTAAAAAATATATACATGTAGAAAAAGATCCATACTTGTAAACAGAATATTGAGACATAAATGAAACATTCATAAACAGTGGAGTATGGCTTCATAATTCTTTCAAATTACATAGAGAAACATATCTTATTGGCTCCATCCCTTTCCTCTCATTTCTTTCATCTTTATACATTCACCCTTCCCTTGAAACATTGTCAAACAACTTAGAAAAACCACAAATAAAAATAAAATGATGTGCTGCTATGTTAAATGCTATTTTGCACACTAAGAGTGACAGAGACAGAAAACTGCAAGAAATGTGTGTAGAGCGATATGGGCGATATTCATCCTCGTAACATCTGCATTCATTCAAAAACAAACATAGAAGCGGACAAAGCGACAAGAGTTTGTCCTTTTAAAAGGTATTTCTATATATGAGCAAGTTAAATTCAAGTTTTACCGTACCTGTGTACCGCGGCTGATTCATTCTCAATGTAGACGGCAATGTTTTTCAACTCACATGTTTTGTTCAACATGGCGGCCATTTTGATTTTCCCGCTTGTCCATGGGAGACTGGTACAACACAGGTAACACATCACCATTTCACATTTTTTTCGCAGCTTTAGCTTGAAACAACTGCAAACAAAGAAAGTTCGAGTCATGACAGATACTCTCTTGTTGACGGATTTTATATTTTTTTTGTTAGGTACATGGTATGATAACGCTTGAACTCGGGAAGACGTGTAAGAACGCATGTCGTTGAAATGGGGCGGATCCAGGAGGGTGGATTGCGTGGCTAGCCACCCACTCTTTTATTTGAAAAAAATATAAATATTTTAAGTTTTGAAAAAAAGAACAGAATTATTGTATAACGGAAAATATGTATAATTACTTCGACAAAAATATAGAAGAACTGTTTGACGTAACTGATAAGTTATATCAACTGTAAGTTTATAATTCATAGATATTTCTCATTTGAAAATTCCGAAATATTATAGGTGTGCCCGAAATAACGATAAAGGATAATTTCACATGAGCCTAAAGAGTCAAATTAATTGTAACGTATTTTAATATTAAATGATTAAATAAAGTGACTAATCTACAATTAGATATTAAATTTTAATGTTAGCCATTCCCTTCTGAAAAATCCTGGTTCCGTCTCTTATTTAAGCTTTCACATTACAACCGTTGATTCCATATTTTGCTCTATACATATAAATATATATAATAAATTGAATAAATTGAAGAAAGAGGCACACAACTTGCAACTAGTATTTCTACTCTTTATTCGAACGTTTCGGCACTTCGGCCTTCTTCAGCAAAAAATATATAATATATACACCTAATTGAAGAAACGTTGTCGGGTCCAAAAAGGTCAAATCATAGAAGCTAAGACCGAAAGGGTACTTGGGAAGACAAACAATTTGGCTAATTTCATAATAAACACCTCTCCAACATAAAATACTAGCATGCTGTTAATCTTACTAGCTCTACTTGGTTAGTGTACACCATGTATGCAAATGTAATCCCAATTTAGTGGTACTCAAAATACCTTTCGGTCTTAGCTTCTATGATGTGACCTTTTCGAACACGACTACGTTTTTTCAATTAGGTGTATATTTATCATATAATAATTATATTTCATATAATATAGTTCTCCATTACATAGCCTGGTCAGCCTGAGTTCATCCAGTGTTTACCCGTAAACACAAAATAAACCGGATGTACGCAGGCTATCCATTACGTAAAGTTGATATTTTCACTAGCTAGTGAAAATAACATGTTATTTTCATTGGCGAAAATAAAACACATTCGGGGTTTCTCTATATAGTGGAAGTAAGAAAAAAGATATTGTCCAACATAATTTGCTTTCATATTTAATTATATGATAAACAGAATATTACATGCTCGCTTTGAGATAGAATTTTATCTTCTCGTGCTGAAAATCTCTTTAGAGAAAAAAAAAAGAAATTAAATAACAGGATTGTTATATAACGGAAAAATGTATAATTACTTCGGAAAAAATATAGAGTGAGAAGAACCGTTTAYGTAACCGATGTTTATCGGCATTAATATCTTTCATATAGGTCCGAAATATTATAGGTGTGCCCGATATTTATTTTGATATTTACATCAAATTTACAACCTTCAAAGCGTGCGATTTTTTCCAGTTCTCCAGTGGATGACGGTAAAAGATRATTTCACATGAGCCTAAAGAAATTAATTGTAACGTACTTAAATATTAAATTTTAATGTCAGCCACCCCCCTTTGAAAAACTGATCCCGGATTCTTCGTCCCTGCGATGTGAGTCAGAATCATATAAAATTCTCAAAACATAGTTAATATCAAAAGTAGCGGTTTTTTGTACACAAAGGAATTCAAGATGGCGACCATGTGGTATCAAGGTCTGATTGTTTTAAAGTGGTTTTGAGGAGTGWTAATAATCGATGACAGCATAATCAACACGTTAAATCATCGGAATATGGCCAAGTCATGATAAATATTTTGGAATCTACGTACACCGTTTGGTTATAAAAAAACAATTGTCACTAGGAGTGACTAAYAATATTATGACCATTAATGTCTTCGAAAATTCAACATGCAAACAAAAGTCTAGTCTGTTGTTTTGATTCAAYCTATTTTTTAGTATAAGTTGTCAGTATCATACTCACTTAATCTCTATTTCATTCTGTATTTTGCGGTATGATTTTACCTACTCTTGGTGCCCTATATAATATACTTTTATTAAGAAAAAACCCTGCAAATATGAGAAAAATCTTAATAATTATCGATGTAATAAATGCACATGTTTACGTAACTATAACTGTTTCGATATTTTCTATCGTTTTCTTGTGATGTTTCAGGTACGAAAGGTAAGGTTATCAGAATCGAAACCAGATGTGTCGTCGCACTTTAACTATTAACCATAACAAGCCACCTACCGCGAGAGTCCAAAAGGTGAGGTAGGAAATTTGTCACTACAAATAYCCTAACATTCCGAGTGGAAAGGTGATGGTATCGGACATGCATCCGACTTGAAGGGTCCTGTTTTGACTGTAGTGACATCAGAATTACTATATAACCAAGCCAAATACAGCATTCAGCATTCTATTCAATTCGCTGAACACCACTTAAAGAATCGTACAATTTTGCATTCAAGGTCATTCACTGACAGCGAGGCCATGAATAGCAATATACCGCTTACAATGGACCATAAAATTGCTGTAATGGGAGCCAGTCGCGTTGGGAAGACATCTCTCTTGAGAGCCTTCTTCGAGCAGCCGTTTATAGCGGAACATAAGCCAACCGTAGACGACTATTATATTCATGGTATGAACCTAGATGGAGTTTATTATAATGTCTGTATAGCAGACACGAGTGGAACGTATTCATTTCCTGTCATGAGACGWTTTGCGATCTCGCACTGCCGTGGATTCATCGTGATGTACTCTATCAACGATATATCATCATTTCAAACCGCTATAGAGAGACTTGACGAGATTATCGAGTTGTTAGCCTCGCGGTATCGACGCGTTCCTGTCTTATTAGTCGCCAATAAACTTGATTGTATCGAAGAGCGCAAGGTATCTGCGCACGAAGCCAAAGACGAGCTCCACATTCGACCTCAGCTTCTCAGCGTCTACACCGAGGTATCATCGAAAACTGGTGTTGGTGTTGAAGGAATATTTCAAAGCCTAGTCAACATGATGCAGGTAGTGAAGGACAAAGAAGAGAACAATAAAAGATCTAGTTCAAAACGCAAGAAAACATAATGAAATTGTGYATCAATGTAYAWAAACCYCGGTAGTACGAATTCTCAGTATAACGTCCACATACGGTCGGTATTCACATTGTATATTATTGTTTATTTGATCGCAATAAGAGAGGAAAAAACCCTTTTTACAGTCAAGTTTAATTAATTAGTTGTATATATACTCTAAGATTAATTTATATTCATGATTGCTTCTTATGTGGTTGGATACTATGTTGAGGTTAGAACGCTCTACTGAGCAACCTAGGAATTGTAATCTTTCCAGTCACGATCTAAAAACACTGTACTTGTTGACATGATGTAGGGTAATGTAATATGTRGGATGACTTGTTCAAACAATCAAAACAATATTTATAACCGCGCTGAAACGACATGAATAAGAAATAACGATAAATAGTTCACCTTATAATATCAATATTTAATAAAACTAAATCAGTCTAATCAGTGTAGTTTTTTAGTGYATACTCTATCTTCAGGTATTCATAAATCGTTATAAAGTTGAATTCAAAAAGACAAAAACGTGTGTAAATATTTATATCAATTCTGTATTACTCTCCACTTTACAAACAAAATAAATTGACTGTCACGTTGAGTTGATTTGTTATGCGATTTTTGTTGATCAGAAGAATAAAGACGGTCAGCTGGAGGTGACCCATTGTATGAGACAAGTGAAGTCATTTGTATGTCCAATTTAGGCCTTGTTTACATGGAGATAGGGTCACCCCACTGGGAGGGTCACGCTACTAGAAAAGTTACAACATAGCTCTTCTTTACAATAAACCCAATAAGCAGGGGTTTGTTATGCCWAAGTGAGGTCATTTGTATGTCCAATTTAGGCCTTGTTTACATGGAGAAAGGGTTACCCCACTGSGAGGATCACCCTACCTGAAAAGTTACAGCATAGCCATCCCTTCAGTCATGAAACTCAACAAGCGGGGTCTACTTTGTACGCCTAACTGAATTCATTTGTATGACCAATTTAGGCCTTGTTTACATGGAGATATGTTCACCTACTAGGAGGGGTTACTCTACCAGAAAAGTTACAGCATAGCCATCCTTTCATAAAACTCAACAAGACAGGGGTCTGTTTTCAAAGTGTATGTCCAATTTAGGCCTTATTTACATGGATATATGGTCACCCTGCTATGAGGTCCTCACCCATACACCGTTGTGCTACCCTTGGAGGAGCTGGTCACATACACAGTCCCTAAGCTTCGAAAACTATATTACTTCTTGAGAATAAACATCCTAGCTATTTTTGTAGTCAATGAYTTCAATTTTCCTAATTTGTATTCTTGACGTCAAATAATAGAATGAAGTTTGAACATTAAAAAGATAGACGAGCAACACTCACTATAAGCTACTATCCTGCAAGGAAGAGAACTACCAATCGGACCATAACGTTAAAAGTCCAACTATTATGATATGTAAACAAAGAAATCTCAGCGGCACGYCATTGTATAYAACGTCACCAGACAAAGATATCCACACAAGGTAGATCACTTACGTCATTAYGCAAGCACCCCGAAGTARCTCACTWGAGTGCGATGCATGCTTCGGTATTCACACAAGCACGATAAACATCGCGATACGCACGTACAATTGATTGGGTTTCCTGTGTTAAAACACAGACAAAGCGACYTGATTAATGGGGAGGGAGGAGGAGAAAAGCGTACCGAGTAAAGAAATTTTCATATGAAACGTTACTCTCACAAGGAAACGCTAGGATATTTAAGGAGTTTTGACATGGCGGATCAGAACCTCGCGACTTCTAAGTCTTGTTCTTTATGTGGTACTTTCTATGTTCGTTGATTGAGACATTGGGACTAACGCAGACTCRAGTAATGGCCAAGCTGATAGCCAATAAACAGCGACATCATCGTACTACAACATGATGGGAGATATAGTGTCTGCACTGTGACGTCATGTTAGAGCAACGCCTGGAGACTATCTACTAGACTAGCTTTTATTTTGTCCGCYCAAATTCCTGTTACAAAGAAAACAAAAAAGCCTTTCAGAGGCTATAAACGGATTTAAAAAAAAAAATGTGCGAGGAATACACTTCCCATGATGCTGTTGTACAAAATGGCGTCACTGTATCACGATTTCTTCACCAGCTGCCTAAGCACCACCGATGACGTGAGTGACCTCTATAGCGCCTATTAATATCAAAACGTTTAGTAAGCCCGTCACCATTAGCTAGACAGTAAGCACTTGGTRCTCACAACTATTGAACGTCTGGCGTTTGACGCCCAGTGAATCAATAAAGGCATAAGTYGAGTTAAAATTCAATGTGGATTACTCTTCACAGTCTGTTTGACAAACTGCTTGGTGGATACTGATTGGAAACTAACATTAGGTAAGTTGCAGTTGATAGTAATGTTATACTATATATTTTCTATTATATTTTATGTTTTGTTGTAGTGTGTTTAACAGATTTGAAGATTGATAATCAGTAAATTTACCGGCTCAATATGACGTAATGTTTTACTTAATTATCCACATTCTTATGCAGACAGACTATAGCATTTAATATTAGAATCATTGTACAAAAGAAAAATTTGATTAGATAGAAATTAATTCAAGCAAGTTGAGATACGACATTCTTAGATATTGTCACTTAGTACAGACGTACGAATCAGACTATTCAGACTTTTGCCTRAGTGCAATGTTAGTTCAGTAGTTAGTGGAAATATTATTTATTTGTACAGCAATGAAGATTTGCCCATCCGACCGCAAAATGTGTTTTGTTATGTTGACATTCGTCTAAATACTTTATTATTTCAGTCTATTTCGATTACTGTCAAAACTTTATAAGTCTGCATTTAATAGTAATCATTCGTTCTAAAGCACTGAAATGGCTTCCTGAATGTTCCAGCTATTTTGTTTTTTCCTTTTTCTTTGTTTTTCAAATTGAATTCAATTTCATACTAAGAATATATCTAATGCTCATTAGCTGAGCCTGTCTCGTCAATTTCTCGACTGAAACAGATTTGTTCTAAAATTGTGATCATTTGTTCCAAAGATAGATTAAAATAAGACATTGAAATGGTTTCTCCCCCTGAGCTTGAAAACAACTTAAGCTTCCAATAATAGAAAATACCGCAGCACTAATCCTCAAAGTAATCAGTTTAACTTCGATTATACAGCATTTGCGCAAAGATAAATAGCTAGCRATCATTTGTTCCAAAGCTGGATGACTAAGCACTGAAATGGCTTCCTGAGCTTTGAAGATTTCTAGTGTCTTCATTGACCTCATTTAGACGTTATCTTTAAAAGATGACTGACTCTAATAACACATTTAGCCTAGTTTTTGCATTGCGCAATGCTAAGATACCGACTAGCGATTTTTGTTCTAATGTCAAATGATATAACATGCACTGAAATATCTTTTGGCGTTCAAATGGTTTCCCTTGACCCCATAGAAATTATTATCTTTCAAAACTGACTGGAATTAGTACTATATTTAGATAACCGAGTACCATTACTGCATTTGCGCAAAGGAAATAGTTTCACTTGAAATTATATGTTCAAAGCTACGTCAAATCATACTCGATTAACTATCATTAAAATACCTTCTCTACTACAGAGTCTTCTGATAGATTCCCATCATTTTTAAAAAGCATTTTCAATGATAAACTAATTGTATCGATATTTATATAGTGCAAACAAAAGATAGGAAAAAGCATGCATTTCGATCTATAAAACATAAAAATTTCAAAATGGGTCGACTGACATTGCTGGGCTTGATATTCCACGAATAGTTAACAAAGTAGAAAAGAAATATACCTTTTTAGCATTTACCACTCAGTAAATATTAATTAAGTTGTGTTTACTACTTAGTTATCTTATCTTGAGATAAGCCTTGCAAATCCCCTTAAGCGATAAATGATTTAGCGCGTCATTTGCTTCTATTAAGATTTTACTAGTAAATGGACACCGACTGAGTGAACCGTCAAGAAATCTAGTAAAGGCTGTAAACCTTTTGATAGAGGCACGCACTTATAAACGAGAAAAAATACGTATTCTTGTGTCTCAATGGCAACTTAAACGAAAGCTGTACGAAAGCTACACTAAACCTGTACGAAAACTACACGAAACCTGTACGAAGCCTGTACCTGAAACCTGTGTATGAAGCTTGTACGATACCTGCCCGAAGCTTCTACGAAACCTACACGAAATTTGTACGAAACCTGTCCGAAATCCAGGTATTTCATGAAAGACCGTTTAAATTTTTTAGTGCGTAGAATTAGCTATAGCTATCCTAGGTGCGCATTTTTGGTATGGCAATCTGACCATCTATTCTTGTTAAGTTCAATATTCTTACTTTTACGACAAAAGCTCATAGTGTTCATGTGGCGCAAATGGTCTATAAAAACAAACATAATATTTTTAAGATTTCCTTGGTTTTGGATCGTTTATTAAAGGATTAGTTGATTCCAAAAATGACTCGTCAAGTCAGGTCTTGGCGTAATCTTGTTCTAAGTAGATGACTTATACTCTTACATTCTATTTACAATAAACAGCATTTAAACACATCAAGTAGATAAGGTAGGATTAAGAGCGTGATAAGGTGGAACATGTTATGCCGCATGTTATCTTGTATACGTGATTCTTCTTAAAAGCCTCTAGCGATTTAGTAGTAGTATTGATATGGGAAGTACAGCGTGTTATATGAATCATTCTTCGATATGTTTGATATCTATGCAAACGATACGCAAATGGAATGTTTTTGGCTAAATTCATGGATTAGGAGGTTCTGGAAATGAATTGTAAACTTTATCGTACTATTATATATGAAGACAAGTAGTTTGGTTTTAGCACGTTGCGGCGCACCGCCACAGCAATAAAGCACGTTGCGGCGCACCGCCATCGCAGTCTTACTATTTGAGTGACACGGCTGAATACCATCCCTTCATTTCACAGTTTCTTTCGTAACACAAGAAGATTTCATTTTCAGTGATAGTGATGAGGAGAAAAGACGCAAGCCCGAATCGTAAACGTAATAAAGTAACAGTGGTCCAGTCACCAATCAAAGTCATCCTTCTTGGCAGTGATGGTGTTGGGAAGTCAGGTAAGTAGGTTTCTGATTGTTTAAGTCACCTAAAGTACGTACACTACCAATGAACACTAGATTCAATCTCACTACAGAGTGGACGTTCCTCTTGATCTGCGCACGCTCTGTAGCAGTATAGATACATGATAGCTAATGGTAAGCAAGAAACCAAAAGCTGAMATATTTTTGRTTTTCAGCGTTGACAGTTCGCCTCCTTACTCGACGATTYATYGGTGAATACGATACGACACTTGGTAAGAACAAATAAAATAGAAATGAATTATCGATGTGTGGTAAGCCTGAAAAGGCTTTCCGAAGAAGGAGAATGCATCAGTCTTGTCCTCAGCACTCCTCCATTTTATTTGGAGGTGCAAAACAATGGTCCTGGACGAGTTTAGTGCATTCGGCCAACAACCTCTTTTACAACCTCGTCCCCAGGGCCATCTCGGTCGACTCCTTTTCAAGATGGCGGTCGTCGGGGAGATGACCCTGGCGTTCGCTGAACTAAGCCGCTTTCTGATTGGCTATTCAAAATGCCTTTTCTTATATCACTCATTATTGGCTGTTTATGTTCGTCTATATGTCGGGATGTGTTCCACAGTGTCGGTATGTCCGGATAACCGTTAGGTCTTTGATCGGTTATTGATTTAACCGTTACGATGCGTTCATTGTTTTTATTCAAATATATCCCAAGTTTAAGGTACGTTTTGTCGATTAAAAAGCAACATTATTCTTTGGAATTCTTATCAGTTGTCCTCTTATGTCTCTCTTGTCCAATGCGTGGTTTTGAGATGCCAGCGACTTGTGTAAGAAATTTAACTTGACGGATATATTTAGCGATAGCATTCGATGTTTTAAGTTTTTAGAAGTCTTCTACTCGCCGATTTCTGCAGCCACTGTTCTTCTTTAAAATCGGTCCAGTGTGCGGATCCCTCAAGAATTCTAGAATGAACTGGATCTACTCAAGTAGGTGGTCTAGGGGTATTAAACACTGGCGATGACGGCAGGACAGGACAGGACAAATAAATTGTCAAAACAAAGCAAATACCGACCCACCACAGCTATCCCAATTTGTGAAACCGTTGAGTTTACGTTCCGAGCGCCATTTTGAATAGATAAGGCACGTGATCAAAACCTCCAAAAATCTTGGAGGTTTTGATCACGTGATTTCCAGCCAACGCCAGGGTCATCTCCCCGACGACCGCCATCTTGAAAAGGAGTCGGCCGAGATGGCCCTGGGGACGAGGTTGCCTCTTTTAATATGCAGTTGAACCTCGCCTTACGACAACCTGCTTAATACGACCACACAAAAAGCTCAAATAGGTAGCTGTTTTGCAAAACATGACTAGAGATATAAAATGAAAACTTCGTCTAACACAGCCATTTCTATWATTTACCGCAGAAGCGACATATCGCCAYCAGGTTGAGATTGACAGCGAGCATGTGTCAATCGAGTTRATGGATACWGCAGGAGAGGTTAGTTAGATTGATACTGATGAATAAAGAATTGCATATAGAGCTTAATTAATATTATATGTTGTTGAGATATCGACGCAAATCTATTGATTTGACAACTATATGTCGTTAGGTGGGTAGATGGGGGCCGGGCGTATGGAATGTCATGAGGGAGGGAGGTGGGACTTCCATCTTTGATTTGCGCTTTTAAGACAGTGAAGGTGATTGACTGCAAAATTTCACAAGTATTGTTTTGGATTCCCTCCGAACGAACCGATGGACTATGGACTACCCTATTGATTTGGCAAATAAAGTCGCATATATTTCAAAGACTTTATCTGCCAAGGAAATGGATTGGGGTGGTTGGATGCATGGGTAGATTGTTGAAAAAATGGATCKGATGATAGATTGGTTGACTTGTTCACGCACCAATGTTATTGTTTGCAATCCAGTGACAACAAGAACCTATAGAAATACTGCTAAAACTCCTCTCATTTCAGAACTCATCCGTAAAACTAAACCGTTGCCTGACMAAAGGCGATATCATCCTCCTACTGTACTCGATCACAAACCTTCAAAGCTTTGAAGAAGCCATAAGAATAGCAAGTTACGTCAAGGATCACAAGACGTCTGATGCATATGTTATGACTTTGATAGGAACTAAAAAAGACCTCGAGCACCTCCGGGAGGTAGACGAGATCGAAGCGAGAAGATACRCGGAAGAATTGGACTCGGGATTTTACGAACTTTCTATATCAGACAGCGAAGGTTACCAACAAGTGTCARACGTTGTAAAGAATTGCGTTCAACAGTTTTTAAGGAAGGACAAAAAGGAACGGACTTCGAGAAGTAATAATTCATCGCTTGTTAAAATGAAAGAAGGGCTGATTCGGAGAACTGGTTCTTTRAGAAGAAAGTCAGTCGCGTTTTGACGGTGTTTTTCTTTTTCCCTGTTTTCACATATCAATTCATCTAATTTAATACTATTGGATTACTGCTATGAAGCCGCATAAATTTAATAGAGTTAATTTAATTTGACCATGCAGTGAAAATAAATATTCAACTGGAGTCAAGTCATTAAATCCGTGAAACAAATCTTAGCGTGCCAGAGTGAGCTCTATAAACCCATGAAACAAAATATGACCATTAAAGTGTGATAGCCATGGACACAGAAGAAAACAATGCAATTAAAGCGTACAAAGGTGCATTAGTTTGATATCCATTTCACGGGTTTTTTGTCTTCACTCTAGTAATGTGGGTAAAGAACAAAAGAAAATAATAGATATTAGCATAATATAAACTATTAGTCTCACAAAATGACTCTAAAGAGCTCCCAGAATCCCAATCGGTTTCCAATCTGCCATTTTCGATGATCAACGTCTAAGAGGTGTATGACGTGTATGGGTAAAATGTATCAATCAGTCTGGTTATAAAACTGATAAATCACAATGGACTATTCAGGTAACCTTGGTGATGATATTCTTTAATTCGATGCTTCCACTTTTGCGCTCAAAATTTAACACTTTGCTCACGATTTGACAGTAGTATTTTCAGATAATCAAGAAGTTCCCAAAATAAACGTCTTTAAACTGACTATAACTATAGGACTATAAGTTTTTGAAAATTAAAGCGACACCGTATTTTCATCAAGTACTATATATATATTTACATATATTCATTTTACAATGACACTGAATGATTGTCCTTTCCYAATACCTTTTTTCGCTGTTTTTTAAAAATTTTAACTTGAGTCACAGTTAACTATGGTTGAGTTAATATTCTTGCTTTCAAATTTGTGTTATTGTAATTTCGATGTAATTATCGTAATGCAACGACTCAATGATTCAAAACAAAGTATAGAGCTCAATACGATGAATATTTATACACGGTTATTATCTGATCTACGATGTTAGCACCGTTTCCAGTCAATATATGTACCGAGTGTTGGTAAAAAACAGCATACTACCTAACATATTTCGAAATATTGTGCACTGTGTCAAATACTATCAATAAATACTGCATATTTTGTGGTATCAGTACTCGTGTTTCTCGTACTGGCAATATAGCCTTATGTCTCGAATCTCACTGCAACGTCACTTTAGGSTTGATTATCACCTAGYRTAAAATTAGAAGTTCCTCATGCWTTGGGGTCGATGACATACCCAAGCCTCTTCTTAGCCTCGTTGTTCAAAAATGGCACTGTTTCTGATCGAACGATTGGTTCGGTAAAGTAGTATGGATCGTCTGGATGGACAAAGGAAGTATGCAGCATATCAACACTTCTTGAAATATTGCCTTTTTGTTCGCGTAGAGATTTTCTGTCGCCACAGAAAAGATATGAAGTTAAACCTGTCGCTGAAAKGATGCCAACGATTGTKACTCCGATAGCGATTGCAGCAGTAACGAAGACCATAATCTCTAAGATGGTGAAGTYAAGTTATAGAGTTTTTGAGCGAATTATATAGTAACGCGTCTGTTCTTGTACGGTTGTTGAGGCATGGAAAGGGTAAACGAAGGCAATGCAAATGAGTTGCTCAATGTAGACACAGATGTTGATCACGTGACTACTTGTCAGTCACGTGATCTATCACCCGGAAAACTAAATGTAGTTAATGGTAAAATAGTCCAAAAAGTCTTTAAATACACCTCAAAAATAGTCGGCTGTTTGATTATGATGAAGACGCAGATGTTGATAACACAATTGCATGTCAATAAAACTAAACTCTTTCGGAAAAAAAAATGTAGTCAAGAATAAAAACCCAAATAAAAACTCATAGGAAAAAAAAAACTTTCATCAGTTGCAAAATGGCGAACTTTAAAGCACCTGTCTAAGCGGCCAAAAAAGCACCTAAAGCTGATTATCGCCTGATGAGTTTAATTCACGGGTTTCGTGACTTTAGTCACTTTAAACACTTCTCTTTCTTATCGTAACGTTTTTGTAATTTTAGCGTTGTTGATAAAAATTAAAGTTATCTTAACAACAGTCTTTTCGTCCACACGCCCACTCTGAAATTAAATTTTGACAGCTTTTTAAATCATTTAAAATTTAATTGCATGAAGAAAACATCGAATTTAGTTTAGCGATTTCATTTGTAAGAWATTAGAGTGAAAACGTTAAGCCCGTGAAATAAAATCTATACAGTCGAGGTGGAACAGTTTCAAAATACTGTTCAAAATGACTTGAAACGATGTGTTTTTTTTTTTATTGCTGTAGATGTGAGGAGTGCTTTCCCCTCCCACTTAAAAGAAGAAGAACACCGGTGCATGATAAATAAGAAAAGAAAACAATTTCTTTTCGGCATGCTTTTTTTTAAACTGAGAATGACCGGAAAATCTATCTGATCTATAATAGCAACATGTCGGTTAAAGTCTATATTTCACGAGTTTTCCAATTAAGTTTGAATATGAATAGTGCTAGTATAATAAACACAACACAAAAGAAAAAGTAAAGTGTATCAGAATACTACTTATCTATTTCAAAGAGTGTGTCAAAAAATCCGTGAAATAGGAATTACACTAATACACCTTAGTTCGCTCTATTTGCATTGTTTTATTTTGTGTCTATTTGACTATCACCAATCTCGTACCCAGAGCCGCCGTTCCTCTTGGTCGGCGCTGACCAAGAGGAACGGCGGCTCTGGGTACGAGATTGGACTATCACAATTCAATAGTCAAATCTTGTTTCACGGGTTTAATAATTTCACTCTAATTTTGAATACTAAAGTGATACTATTCCAATAAACACAAAATAATAATAAAAAAAAGAATTAGCAAATGCTTGAGTGCACAAGTCTAACATTTAGTTTCACGAGTTTTTGACTTTTTTTAAAGAATGGTCCTTAAACCCGTGAAACAAAACTTGACTTTTAAAGTGTAATAAACAATTAGACAAAAGAAAACAATGCAATTAGAGCGTACTAAGGTGTATTCGTGTAGTAGCTATTTCAAGGGTTTTTGACTTATGAATTAAAATCCAAGAGACACGACGAAAACAATGGAATTAGTGACCTTTAAGTGCATCACTAATATCTATTTCACGGCTTTAAAGATTTCACACTCTACGTACAACACGACTGTGATGTGTTATATGACCATCTATTTCACGGGTATTTTAAGATAGCTCTAAGTCTTTTCCTAATGCAAAAACCAAGATTAAAAAACTTTTTCAACGTGCGAAACAGTACAGGTGCTGAAAGAATCCATTTTGCGGCACAAACAGCGTTCCCTGAAGTAYCCCCATCCATTAGCAGTGATATCGATGGTGGTATCAAGTGTTAAAGAAAAAAATAACATAAAAAATCGATGTTGAATTAATAACTCCTTATTAGATTCAATCATTGTGAGTATTTTGACCACACRGCATATTGAGRCAGSCTGTCTGGTTCACGTAGGCTTATTTTTTCCATTAGATAAAAGTCGCTTAATTGAAACCCAATGAAAATATATATAAATAAATAGATTTGACAAGATAGCGCGGTGACTGACTCCAATGGCTGACGCATCAAGGTAAGTGTTCAAGTCGCAAACAAGTAAAAACAAACAAACTGCGAGAAAACGTTTCAATATTTTGACAAACCAAAATGCTCAACACTTTTCGGAGCGATTTTATCCAGGCTAGAAATAACACTAAACMGTACTAGGACTATTTCCTAAAGAATCCATGGCAATTTAAAACTATTTTTGACTCAACGTATAACACAAGCTATATAAAAATAAACACTACATGACACATCATAGGCTTGTCCCAAAGAGAGCTTAATATAAGARCAAACATCAAGATGAAACATCTTTCAAGTTTAATTTATATCCTCAAACATCACAGAGAGATTGCAAATAAGTGTTTCGACAAAAATTATGTTATACCCCAAACATTTGCGATAATAGAAGGAAAAATATACAAGTAAAATGATATACATTTTCACCAGATGTTTCGCTTTTAGATCCTTCGTTCTGTTCAGTTTCTGCTAAAACGAAAGGACCTTGCAAAGTTCGAAAAATTAGTGCCTATGCTTTTTCCTATAGTGTTTCGTTAAAAACACAGACGCTGGACACAATAGCTTAACGGTTTTTATCGTTTCCCATCATCCACCATTGTTATCAGAAACCCTCCCCTAAACCTCCTCACCCCACCCTCCATCGCTCCACCTCTCCATTAAATAAAGGCGTTCCTTAAACGTCTCCCATTTCAGGTGTTAAACATTTGAAACACACAGAGCTATCAACAAGTTAAGTGAAATCTGCAGCAAACACAGTTTGATATTCGTCTTTGAGGTCGACAGCCCGTGTTTAAAGTAAGTACTGGTATTACATGGTGTATAATTCCTGCTTAGATGTATAAAAAGAGTATTTTGGTGCGCAAAATGAGAGTTGTGTTCGAGGTCAAAGTATCAACTGCAGAGTTTACTGCGACTCGATCAGATCCGATCAAGATCATGACTCAAGAAATCAAGCCTTGTCGCAAGAGATTGTACTTGTTTAGCTCGATTAGTAGTTCATAAATTAGGCGTGTATTTTGGTTCGTCTAGACGAGTGATTTTTTCCCAAAAAAACTCGTAAAAATTTGTGGTTGGGACCTTCAACCCTACAACACGCCGGAGGTCAAGCAAAGCGTAAATGTCTAAAACAGGGTATACATTTCACCCGAAATTGTCTTAAACAGGCTCTACAATTTAGATAAAAGACCGATATAATTCTTTTCTAATTCTTTTCATAAGAAATACCGTAGAAATAGTAGAAATACCGTTTCACTGTGCCAGGATTAACGTGTTATCAAAAACTTCTTATTGACTTTGATGGATGTCAGTATAATTGCAGTTTTGATGGTTGCGGCGTAGATAGCGATTCCTTATTTTTCCGATTTGTCTTGAACAGAGTATGGATTTTTACTTTTTAGTGTCTTAAACAGGGTCAGGGTTAAAAGATAGTTGACATAACACAGAAACACATCATATAACAATAGCATAACCAGTATTAGTTACTGTCGAGGTACATCTATCGCGAAAATGAAAGTAAGGAAAAGAGGAAGGAAAACTAAGAATAGTGAGGACGAAATAGAGTGACGACAAAGAAAAGAAATATCAGAATGCTCCATTTTATCAAGGTGAAGTTGATCTGTATGGTATGAGCAGCCCTCGGTTACCCATCTCTGCAGACGCGTCTTATCTACAATTGTACCCCTGCGGCGAACCACGCACGACATCTGCACAGAGGCTATTGTAGCCCCCAGCACAAGTCGGTAGTGTTAGAAAGATCGGGTCAACTGCCTTCGTCCCCACAACTGAGCTCGTGTATTGATTCAAAAAAATATTTAAACATTTCCGAAACATAGTTAGACTATCAAATTGCACAACTTAAAAAAATATAAAGGGCGGTGAGATTTTATCTCAAAGTTGACAACAGTAACAATGACGACATATATTCTTTTAAACGAATGCCATTTAAGTGTGTTTAATTTGGTAACGAGATTATGCTCACACGCAAAGGATTTGAACATAGACGTCCATAAGATTTGAGTAAAGTGGTTAGTCTCTAAGTACATATTTACAGAACTTTTGAGCTTAGCAATAAGCCATGGGATGAAAATAGAAGGGAAACTATGACAGTAAGAGTAAAGATATTAAACCTGTGAAACAAAATCTAATGGCTAAATATCATTCATCCATCCATTTATTCATCCCAATTTCGTCAATAAAATGAAACGAAAAGTAAATTTCCATAAAAGGACATAACATTCCAAATAAGGTAACATGAAACTAAATAAGGAATTACATCATAGCTTCTAAAATAACTTGAGCAAACAGACTGCTTCTWAATTTTCGTTCTGATTCCGTGCTTACTTCTCCATCTCAGGTGAAGCCATTATGTAAATTTGTTAACCCAATTATTGATATAGTTAAGATAAGCATCATTCTTAACTTTATTTACTTTCGTACAGAAGAACACTTTACGCCTTGTGGTCAACTAGGCTCATTATCACTTAAACGATTTATTAACTTATCTCACTTAGACCTTTTAATGTGCTTGGAAAAAATAATTGAAAGAGTCGAGTTTTATTAACTAGGGCTGGGCTGCCTGTGTAATGTGGATAGACTTCTAAAGAAAAGAGCGTCAATCGCCCAGAAGGTAAAAATTCCCTGACTAACAGATCTTAATTGTACTTTTCTTGCATGTTGATCGAATTGAGTACATTGGGGATCTTTCTCATAACTTTGGTTGAATATAAAAGTATAGAGAGTTGAAAACAATACATAATTTTAACAAGGTATTTCTTACATAAGACTGCATTTTCGCCGGATTTTACAACGTGCATCACTTTCGCGCAATCCAAAAGACGTTGCATAGATAAGTTAAAGTTAGATAAATTATTTTATTCCGGCTTTTTGCTTTCATTTTTCAATATAAACATTTTTTAACTACAGCCWTTTGAAAAAGGTTGCATTCAGTCGGMAATTYTCAAAGGATTCCAAGAGGCGTCTATGGAATTATCGATATAAATAGTTCTTTCTTTTGATTATCAGCTTAAATTTTATT